TGCATAAATTGCATTCTTGATATCTTTATAACCAATTAACCCAAATGCATCAAAAAGGTAACTCTAAACCTCGCACCGCTTTAACCGACCCGTATTTAAGCCTATAGATTTAAGAAATTCAAATTCTTATTTTTTTTTATAGAACCGAAAAGAAATAAAAAGAAAAAAGGTACGTACGTGCATATAAATTTATTCTAGTTGATTCACACTGAATAAATCGCATGCTTAAGTTTATTGAATCGTCTGGTCACAAACTAATTGATCCAAATAATTTACCGGTATTTTTCAAAGTAGTACAACCTTAATATTAAATTGTTAATTACCGGTAATTATATTTTTGTATTCTTTATTTACTTTACTAAATTTAGTTTTCAGAAAAATAATTTCAAAAAAATAAAATCTATATTTTAAAATGTTTGAAATTGATGCAATTTTTCAAATTTTAATTTGAAATAGCATTAATGCTTTTCGATTTTGCTTTTTGAAAGATAATTGGTATCAAAATCGGATCAAATCGGAGAATATTTGACGTATACAAGTTCTGATGCAATTATTTCATAACATTCCTATAAAAAGAATAAATTTTGTGATCAAGTTATTACTAGAAAATTCTCATCCCCTAAGTAAGGTAAAAGAAATTAACTGTAATTAAAAAATTTTACCCAAATTTAGAATCCAAAAAAGTGTGCAAGCCATCAATTTATCCTTCTTTAAATCGACCTATCTCAAGCACTATTCCAATAATAATTCTCGTTCTTTCACAGACAACATGCAATTTCGAATGTTATTAAACTCTTGGTTTTCTTCAACTTCGAGGAGTCTAAAATCTTTACACTTTAATTTTCACGTATCTGACAATGATCGAAGGCTTGGTGGAAATAACGATGGATATAGGCGAGATGTAGATTTAGAAGATGAAGATAATAGATTACTAAATAGACATACACGTACTTTCGGTACACTAGAAGACGAAAGGGATTATCGTAGTTTGATGAGTCTTGGAAAGTCAACTGTTAGGCAAACGGTTGTTAACGCGGTGGTACGCTAAATAATATTACTTGTGAATATTATAAAATTTTCAATTAAGTTAAAAATAAAAAAATCAAACTTTTTTTTTTTTAAAAAAAAAAAGAATATATTGATGGGAATTGCGATATTGGCGTTGCCTCTTGCGTTTAAATATTCCGGATGGGTTATTGGACTTTCGATATTTTCATTTTGTCTTATATCAACGAATTATACCGCAAAAATTCTCAAAAAATGTTTAGATACTGATCCTGAATGTCTTACATACGCTGATCTCGCTTATTTGGCTTACGGTCAAAAAGGAAAAATTTTCGTTGGTTTTTTATTTCTAATGGATCTTTATAACGCTGCGTAAGTTCTTTTTTATTATCTGTTCATGGTTTTCTTTCTTTTTTTTTTATTTATCGACAATTTAGTTTCATCTATATAACACCAATATAATCAGTGTCGCTTTGATGATTTTGGTTGGCGATTCTCTCAAGATCCTTTTCCCTCAAGTAGATCTCACTCGTTTGAAACTTATCGTATTTCTTATCATTACTCCAATAACTTGGCTACCAATTCATTATCTTTTTTATACCTCAATCCTTGGAATTTTTACTGCGTCTTCATTAGCTTTGGTTTTATTGATTGATGGTCTGACTAAATATGTTGCTCCTGGAAGTTTATGGCAACCTATGGATACTTATCTTTTCCCTCAAAATTGGTTGATCATGCCTTTATCTTTTGGTCTTATCAATTCTGCCTTTTCTGGTCACGCTGTTTTTCCTTCGTTATATCGTGATATGGAAAAACCTTGTGATTATAAAAAATCTGTAAATTCTAGTTATTTGGTTGCTGGTGTTGTTTATTTTACTGTCGCTATTTGTGGTTATTTAATGTTTGGGTCTGAGACGATGCAAGAAGTATGTTATATCCTATTTTATTTTCTCGTTTATTACTTTCTAAAAATTTATCATCATTATTATTATTATTATTATTGTTTATTTATAAATTTCTGGCTAATACATCTAATACATATATAGATTACTCAAAACATAATGTCAACTTGTGGATACAGCCTCTTTTTAAATTCCATTGTAGTATGGTCGATTGTTATTAATCCTCTCTCAAAATATCCTCTCACATTGGCTCCAATTAATTTAAGTATCGAAGTAACATTCTTTCGGATACGTATGGATGCATTATCTAGGTCAAAAGTTGTCAAATTTCTTTTCATTATTATTTCAAGATCTTTAGTTAGTTTCGTTATTGTTGGAACCGCAATTGTCTTTCCTGGCTTGGATCGTGCAATGGTAAGCATTTATATTAAATTAAATTATTTACTTTTCGGAATTGCTTTTCTTACTAAATTAAAATTATTCTTGTTTCGTTAATCGTACTGAAATTCTTAAAAAAAAAAAAGTCTCTCCTTGGTTCATGTTTTTCATTCTTAATAGCTTCAATTTGTCCACTTTTATGTCATTTAAAAATGTTTGGTAGATATCTTTCAAAAAAAGAATTAATTTGGGATTTGTTTATATTAGTTGTTTGTTCTGTCATGGCTATAATAGGAACTACTTGGACATTTTTGCCAAGAGAACTATTGGATGGCGGAGATCAAGCAAATTAGATTAAAAAAAAAATTAATAGAATAATCTATGTGACAACTATTAGACTCTTTTCGAAAAATATAATATTGCTTTTTTTTTTTTTATCCACACTAAGGAATGAACATTAATGTATGTTAAATAGGAAAATTGGATTAAATAATAAAAAATTTTAGATGATATTTAAGAAATGTATCATTATTTAATAAAATTCTATTTTAATCTCGATATGACTTATTAAATACTAAAGAACGCATCCATGTTTTTTTTAGCAATTTTCTTTAAAATGTTTGATCTTAAAATCTTTATATTGTATGCAAATCAATTCAAATTTTATACATAACGATACAGTAGTTTGAAGATTAAATTAATACACTGTATAGTTTATATTAAATGTCAGTTGAAGCTGGAAGCTGTTCTTGTTTTTGGCGTAACTACGTTGCGCAGCTAGGTCTTTTCCCATATCTAATGCATGTTATTTTCAGTTAATTCCTGAAATTAGATCCCATGTAATGTTGTAATACAGATCCCACGTAATAGAATAATAAGATCCCATGTAATATAGTAATACAAATCCCATGTAATATAGTAATACAAATCCCATGTAATATAGTAAATAGCAATGTATCACAAATGCCACGTTGAAATCTATAAAAATCCTTTGATATCTTTTTTGTTCCAACTCGAGAGTTCTCAAGAGTTCAAAACTTAAAAAGAGTTCTACAACTGAATAAAGAGTAATCGTGTCTTCATGCACGAATAACTTTAAATAACAAACTTGTTTACACGACTACTTATATTTTCATATACATTTAGCCGTTTGCCTCTTTTGTAACTGCAAATCACCTTAATCCTCTTAAAGCATAATCGCACTAAACATTATATTTGACTTAAGCATAAAAACTCTGAATAATCAAAACTAAAAGAGTTAATTTCGTTATTTCAAAGATTTACGTCTCTGATGCTTTTATATTTCGTGAAACGATTGATTTTTTAATCTTATCTTGCTCACGTGAAGTCCAAACAATTTATTCAAAAGAAAATATTATTTCTATTAGTTATTACTCTAAAAGTTAAAAAATACTTGATATTGTTATTGTACTACATGCTAGCATTGTCAGAATCGCTTCTAATAAAAGTTGGTGGAACACTTGATCCCACTTGATCCCAAACTTTCATATAAAAGATAAGCGTCCAAAAAACCATCTTACAAAATTTCAGGTGACTTTGATTATAAAAATTTCGATATTGCTACCATATTTTAGATTAAAATTTATTGTAAAAATAATATAAAAACTTGTGTAACATATTTTGTCAATATAAACCAAGTATCTAATTAAAACGAATTTCTATTTTGCTATTACATGCTAAGTGCCACATAACTTCTTTTCATAATGTCGATTGTCGCAGCTGATGCTGAAATTCGGACCTATTTTGATATGAAAATTTAAAATTTTGAGGTTTTTTGTCCGCTTTTTTTTTTAGGGTAAGGTTAGGATTTAGGGTTAGAATTGATAATTAAAGAGTATATGTGAATCTTAGCAGGGTTTATATTTTCAAATCGAGATCCCAAATATTAGCATCAGCTGCGACATTTATTACTAAAGAACCAAATTTATTAACGAATCTACAAGATATAAAAGATTAGACTAAAACTTTAATTTACGGTTGATAAATTCACACTACAAGAATCGACCAAATTTAAATATTAAACCCAGATCTACTACTAAAGATTTGTACCTATTTAAATTAAAAACAGCAATTAAATCTAACGTAATAATGATAAGATTTAAAAAAAGCATGCGAGATATAACAAAAATTATTGGTTAAGGAAAAAATCGGACTTCTGGTTCATGTTTAGCATTTAAT